GTGCGCTCCCTGGGGCTGGGAGCCTTGGTGCTCTCATGCGGGGCCGGGCAGGCAGCAGGCAGCGGGCAGCCCTGCTCTCCCCGGGTGACAACAAAGTGCTGATTTTGGAGGGTGCCGAGCATCTCCTCTCCCGCTCCCCCCAAAGCGGAGGGAAGCGGGTACCGCAGCTCCATCTCCCCCCCCAGCGCCGATCCCCATCTCCCTCCCCCCCTGCGGGCAGGTGTGCTTGTTCATGGCACCCTGGGGTGGGCACCCATCCCTGCCCGGCTACTTGCAGACGCTGACCCACTCGGTGATGCGACACTCCTCGCAGGCCACGAAGCAGCACCAGTGGAACTTGCAGTTGCAGCGCTCGCTGCGGGTCTGCCGCAGGATGTTGTGCCCGCGGCCGCAGCACAGGCTCTCGCAGTTGTCCATGCCCGGGCTGGTCTTGTTGCACAGGCGCCCTTGGGTGCCCAAGGAGTCCAGGGCTGGTTCCCGCTCGCAGAAGTCGGGTGACTTCTCAAAGTAAACCAGCTCGCTGATGCCGGCCCGGCGGCGGTGCCGAGCGTGGCCTGGCTCCAGCTGCCCGGCATTGCGGTTGTGGGGTCGGATAAGGGTGGCCCCGTAGAAGCGGTCCTTGAGCAGGGACCCCACCAGGCGAAACTCAGGTGTCACCTGCCAGCACGTCTTCAGCTGGCAGCTCCCCGAGGTGCCGTGGCATTTGCACTTCCTCCTCATGTTGTCCATCACCACCTGGGCAGGGAGGGGAGGGCAGGGCAGAGGGGTTAGCATGGAGGAGACATTTTTGGGGGACCGGAGAAGCCATCATGGAGCTCTCTGTGGGTTGGCACTATGGGAACACCAAGGGCTGGCACGAGCAGCCATCAGAGCCCTGGAGTGGCAAAGCCAGCAAGGCTGCACCCTGTTGCTGTGCCCAACGTCACCCATGTCCCACACCCTGTCCCTTCCCATCCTGGCAGTACCAACTGGCTTTTACACTCCAGCAAGGGACCAGCACCTAAAGGAGAGGGTGAGCTACCTGACCACAGGGAGGAGAAGGAGTCTGGATCTCACCTTCCACTGCGGCTTGGCTCCAGCAGCACCAACATGACCACAGACCCCAGTTAAAGCCGGTGTTGCTGCATCTTTGCAGCCCTACTGGGACCCCCCAGCACAGGGGTCCCCCATGCACCTCACCGGCCAGGAGCGCTGCAAGCGGGGCAGGTTGGAGGGATGCTTTCCTCTCCCCAGGGCTTTCCTGCCGTAAAGCCCCAGCTCCAAGAGTCCCGGGAGCAGCTCTGCTTTCAGCTCTTGCCTGTTTTCCCATGGGAGCCCTGGGTGCAGCGCCGGGTGGCCGAGGCGCTGCCTTCCACAATCACCCGAATTTCGGGGCCCCCAGCACCTCACCGGCCAGGAGCGCTGCAAGCGGGGCAGGTTGGAGGGATGCTTTCCTCTCCCCAGGGCTTTCCTGCCGTAAAGCCCCAGCTCCAAGAGTCCCGGGAGCAGCTCTGCTTTCAGCTCTTGCCTGTTTTCCCATGGGAGCCCTGGGTGCAGCGCCGGGTGGCCGAGGCGCTGCCTTCCACAATCACCCGAATTTCAAGCAGGGATTGGAGATGCTCAGAGCCCTGACCTGTGGTTTGGGGAGGCCACAGTGAGGCCGGTGCCACATGTCCACCCCTGAGGAGGGCCAGGGTGTGTGGGCTGGGCTGCAGCTGTGGTTTGGGCTGGCTGGGCAGACTGGCTCATGCAGGGGCCAGAGACCAGAGGCCAGTGCAGGAACAAGGAGGACCCTGGGCTCCTGCTGAGCCCCCAGGCTGCATGCTGGGGTCCCCCCTGGTCCCCCATCCCTGCAAGGGATGCTGCTGTGGCTGTGCCAAGGGAAACAGCTCATGCCCAGCAATCTCCAGGGACATGGAGTGGCCACACATCCCTGCACAGCCTGGAAAGAGGCAGTTTATACCATCCTCTGCTCTGTTCCGAGGGATTCCCTGCTGGGTCGCGTGCCCCGATGCCCACACGCTCACACAGGGTCCAGCAAGTCCCCTTCCCATGGGGCCACCCAAGCCCCGCCGGGAGCCGGGCTGGGGCTTGCAAAGACTATCACAGGCTGATCCCCCCACACAGGGCCACGCTCTGGGGCTCGGGGGGAGCCCAGGGGACACGTGGCCTTGCGCAAGGTCCCGTCCCACGATGCCAGCCCTGCCCGGCTGCCCGGCTTCAGGCCTGACATGCGCTGCCTGTTCCTGCCCCCTCCCTGGGGGGGACGCGTGTGCGAGGAGTGCCTTGTTTTGGTAGGGGTGGGTAGTTTTTACTCCTTGTTTTCTTGTTTTTGAGTAAATCTCCTCGTTGCTAAGCAGTTATGGTAATGAAGGCAGGTCAGGGAAACACACCTGGAGCTCGGGGCACACAGCAGAGAGGTCTGGGCTGGGCTGGAGTTTGGCTTTCATCCTGCTGAGAGTCCTGTCTCCTGCCGGGAACAGCCTCCACCTCGCAGGTAATGAGCTGCCCGGCCTCTCTGCCGTGCCCTGGGTGTGCCGACCGGGAACACCGGCTGCTTGCCACCATCCTTGCCACCATCCACGGGAACACGCTGGCACCAGGACCCCATCCTTTCCCACGTCCCCTCCCTGCTCCCTTGGCTGGACCAGGGAAAATCTGCATATAGGGCTGTGGTCACCACCAGGATGGGGACAGTGGCGTGACAGCTGGACAGGGGCTCATTTGGGGCTACAGCTGGTCACAGCAGGGGCTGGAGAAGGCAGTGTGTGCGTGCCATCTCCATCACCCAAGCCATCACCACCAAGCATCCTGAGCCCCAGCACCACAGCACCCATCCATCCCTGCCCAGGGATGGCTTGTTCTCCCTCCTGCATGGGCAGTGCAGGGGGGACAGGACCCTGCCAGAGCCGGGAGACCCGAGAAGGACCCATCTGAGCCTCAGACCCATGCTTTTGCCATCAGATCTCCTCCATGCACCCCTACCAAGCCACATCCTTCCCCCGTTTCACAGACACCCGGGTTCGGCACATGCCCGGACTCGCTGGTGCTTTCTTTCGCACATTCCCAGCTCCTCCCAGACACGCTCATAAGAGCTTTATCGTAGGTCTTTGTTGTGAGGGTAATGGGTAGTTCCTGGCTGCCTTTCATCCTCTCGTGCTCTCTGATCTGGTGGGTTAGGAGGACCTGCAAAGCCTCTTGCACACTCCTGCTGCTCCTCGCTGGGGAACTTGCTCCCTCCCAGGGATACAGGACACCCACCTCAGTCTTGAGTTGGAATAGGAAGCCCCGGGGCCAAGGTGACCACTGCCACCGTTGGAGGATGCTGCACATCCCCTGCAGCTGCAATCCCCTCTCCGGCTTCATAGCTGGATGCAAAAGAGGAAAAAATCAGCGTGTTTCTGCCTGGTTTCGAACCAGGGACCTTCCGCGTGTCAGGCGAACGTGATAACCACTACACTACAGAAACCCACATCCCATGGTCACTGGATGTGGCTGTCGGTGGGATTCTCACACACACACACACACACACCCCCCCGGCATTGTAGAGTGTGAGCCAGGAGCCAGGCTTACCCACACGCAGAGCACCCTTGGGACACACAGGGACCACGGAAAGGATGCTCAGCATCAGTGAGATGCTGGAGAGCCCTGGGTACCGCAGCTGCTCGGTGCACAGAGAGAGATGGCGTGTGGCAGGGCATGGCACATGGCGTGTATGTCCACATCACTGCTCTGCTCAAGGGGTTCAAGCCTCGGGACTTGGAGGGGAGGACCACAGAGCTGCTGCATCCAGCATGGCCACTCGTCTCCTGGGAGATCCCAGCAGATTGCTCCTTACTGCAGCAGAAAGATGGTCCTAGGAGTGAGGAGGGCTTGGGTGGGTGTGGGACCCACAGCGTTGCTAAAAGAGCAGGATAGGAACTGGAGAACCCAGCCCCAGGCGTTGTGGACAGCCAGGTCCAGCCCCAGCAATAAACATGACACCAACAGGCACAGACCAAGCACAGCATCATCTCCTTGCTCCAATGCATGGCACCCACAACCACCACAACCCGACCTGCAGACGGGCTCACATCGTCATCTCAACAGGGTCCCTGAGCTGGGCAGCCTGACCAGCCATTGCTGCCCACCTGCACTGGCACCATCCCCTCCTTTAGCCCTTTGGTCCTCCTCTGCCTCTGCTTCCAGATCCCAGGCTTCTTCCCTCAGTCCAGCTCTTGTCTCTGAAGCCACCAAGAGCTGACATTGCCAGTCCCATGCCTGCCTGCTCTTGGGGACAAGCAGAAGCCAGGCATTTTTGCTGTTGCCGGATCCCACAGGCACCGCGTGGTGACATCCCCCCCCATGCAAATATTTCTCTCCCACCTTCTCCTTCTGCAGGGGGCTGTGTGACTTCCCTTGGGAAACGGGCAATGCAGACCCCAAATTTCTGAGCGCTGCCAAGAGCCCCAGTGATGTGGGGCATGCAGAGCCGGAGGGGAGCCAGGATGAGCCCTGCAGCCAGAATTGGGACGGAAGGTCTTGCCTGGCTTGGGGCAGAGCAGCCTGTGGAGGATTGAGCTACCTAACACTGAGCAAGCCTTCACCACGTGCAAGCAAACAAAGCCAAACAAGCAAAAAGCTCTGGCTTTCCCCAGGCATTTACAGTTTGGCCAAACTGGGACGGCTTCTTCGCAGTGGTAAAGCTCAGCTCCAGCACCAGGGAAGGGCACACGTCAAGGTCCTGCTCTGCAGCGTCCCCATCTCATAGCTGCCTTTAAACATGCTCAAAGCAAGAGGCACATCCAAATGTCTGAGCCATCCCGGGGAAACACTCCCTGTGGAATTCTGATCATTAATTACTTATTCCCGCAGCCACTACACACTCCCCTGTGCGGCCCTGGTAGTGTGTGGTTGGGGTCTTGGGAACATCCCACTGGATCCATGGGATGGGGTCTCCCTGGGGAGCAAAGCCGGGCAGGGAAATGCAGGCATCCTCCCAGCCCCTCCTGCCTGCGTGCTTCTTGTCTCCAATGTCAGGCTGCTTTTAAACATCAGCTTCCAGACAGAGCGAGCTACTAATTAGCACCTTTAATGAGACCTGACATCATGAGAATGGAGGGGAGGCTGCCCTGCTCGCCCAGGCAGGCTCCGGCACCCCCTCAGAGCCGGGGGGACAAGGCTGTGTGCTGTCACCTCTGCTCCCGAGGGGATGCTGTGCTTCCCAGCTGGCACAGGTGCCCTCTGCCTGGCTCAGTCCCGCTCACGTCTGTCTCCTCGAGGCACCGGCTCCCTCTCCAGAGGCAGAGCCGTGGCTGGGTGCTGCGAAGCCTGTGCTGTGTCCCCTCGCTAGGGACAGTGCATTGCAGCACTTGCCTTCTCACACCATGCCAGTGACTTTCTCCTCCCCGACCATAGCTCCCCTGCGCCGCAGCTGCCCGACACCAGTTCACCCAGTCCCTGAGTGGCAGGAGCTGGACTCATCGCCGTGCCACCCCCATAGCACCGCTGCAGCACAGGCAGGTGACAGTGGCCTGGGGAAGTGTCCCTTAGCAGGGGGACAGCAGTGATGCTTGGAGGTGCCCTCCCCAGCAAAGATGCTCTGCAGCAGGGCTGCGCCACTGCCTTTGCTCTGGGCAAAACTGAGGAGAGGGGGTGCCTTGGGGGCAATCCTAGCCACGCACACATGTCCCACCACAGCCAGCACAAGCCCCTCGCAGCCCTCCCTCGTGTGTCTTGGGGATGCTGTCCCCGCCACCATCGCCCCGCACCCCTGCCCAGCACCCACTCACCTGCCGGCCCACGCGGTTGTTGTGCAGCCTCATGCGGGAGTGGATGTCCCTGTAGGTTTCCCGGGAATCGAGGAAATCCTTGGAAAACTTCTCCCCATAGTCCACATCGGGGCTGCACCCTCCCCATTCCCAGGAGTCCTGAAGGCCGGGGGTCTCGGCCGGCATGTGCTCCATGTGAACCCCGTGCACCATGCCTTTGCCGCGGTTCATGGCCTCCAGCTGGAGACGATGCAGCTTGCGCCGAAAAGCCTCCTCATCGCCCCGGCGCTTCTGGTCGCAGCCGCAGGCCTGCAGCTTGCCGAGGGCACAGGCATTGGAGACAGCGTGCACCACGCCAGCGGCTGCAATGGCATAGGCGAAGGCGCTCTCCCGAAAGCCTGTGAGGAAGGAGAGAGTGGGGCTCAGGCTGGGTGGCGTGACCCCTGCAGGGGGCTGCATGAGCCCAGCATCATGCTGGGGTGTAGGCAGCCGGAGGTTCAGCTTGTGCCTTGCCTTGTCCTGATGCACCAGCTCCCACCTGGACCATGAGCGAATCCTCACTCGGTGCTCTCCATCCCCACCCGCACCAGGACACATTGCTGCCCTGAAGCCCAGCCCTGCCCTGGCCGGGACCCCAGCTCTCACCATCACCCTGCTCTCATATCGCCCTGGGAGATGCCACCACAGCATTGCTCAGGCATCAGCGTTACGGCTCTGATGGGAAAGGCAGTATCTCCTCCCCCCTCCACTCAGAGTTTCCCACTATATTAAATATAATGCTGGCTGAGGAATACTTCTGCTGAGGAATGGGCCATTTCTGCTTACCCACAGGGTGCAGGATCAGACAATAACGGGAGCAGGCAGCACTGCCTGTCCAGCCCCATCCGTCTGCCCATGCCCCTTCCCTCCCCGAGCCCCACCAGCTCCCGCAAGAAGCTCTAAATGCGATACCGCGCTGGAAAAATCGAGCATCCCTAGTTAGTTAGAGCATGCCGCGACCGCACCGCGCGCTGCCAGGGCCGGCAGCTGGTTGTTGTTAAAACGCCGGGGAGCGAGGACGTCCGCAAGTGTCATTAGCTGGGGATGGGGTGGATGGGGACAGGGACGGGTCCCACGGCAGGGGCTCCACGGGGCTGTGAGCGGGGGTTGCCCGAGGGCTGCTTGGCTTTGCTGCAGCCGGGTGAAGAGCCTCCCCTACCTGGGAACTTCTATTTTATTTTAAATGCAAAGTAGTATTTTTATTTGTGGTTCCCAGGCCAAGCAGGGAGCCCACACTGCCCTTTGCTTCAGTGCACAGTGACCGGCCCCAGCACGAGAAGGGGAAGGAGGGAGAGCCAGATTTTGTGCCGTGGCTTCACACACGAACAAATAAATAGCTGGAGTTCACAAGCCTCTCTCCCTCCATTGGACAAGAGCAGCTTGATCAGCCCTGGCTTTGCTACAGCTGAACAGAGGAGAGGTTTTGGGGCGTTTTCTCCAGCAGATCTGTGCCATCAAATGGGGGGCTTGGGCAAGCACCCCAAAGTACAGATCCCAGGCAGGAACTCTGCCAGCTCCCTGCCTGCGCCGCGGAGTCATGAGAGGTGAGAGTACTACTGCTCCCCGCTGCTGTCGCCCGTCCTGGGCAATGCTGCCCATCATGCATGTCTCCTCCGTGGTTCACTGCCACCCACTGAGCAAACGCTATGATCTTATTAAAGGGAAACGAAACGCAGCTCGGAAACCTGCATTTAAAGTCATGCTGCTCTTTTGTGTGTTAATTTGATACTGGTGCATTTAAAAAATTAACGAGGCGCTGCTTAAAAGCCAGCGGGAGCCTCTCCCAGCTTCCCCTCGGTGTGGGACAAGCTTGCTCTCAGCCTGCTTCTTTCCATGCACAAGTTGAACAACATTTTTCAGCGGGCAGGTAATGGGGCTGCTGGTGCGTACGCTGCGCAGCCTCCCCGGGGAGAGCACTGGCAGGCAGCGCCTGCAACACACCCACATCGCTGTTAGAGCAGGACAGCCCAAATTTGGGGAACTTCAGCCCCCAGGTGAGCGGTGCAGGATGGAGAACCAGCATGGGAAGGTCTCCAGGATCCCCAAATCCACCCCATATCAGTTCTCCGCCCCCACAATCCGGGCCAGCTCCAGCCCTTCATGAGCCAAGGCCAGGCACAGCCCAAGAGCAGGGACCTGTTGCTGCCACCCCGCTCGGTGTCCCCGGCTCCTCGCACAGCCGGTGCCCGGAGATGGTGGCCGCAAACCCTCCACCTGGCACGACACACTCCTCTCAGCCCTGCCTTTCCATTAGCCTCTTTCTCACACATTTCCTCAGCCTAAGAAATAATTTCCCATGCAGCATCTCCTTAAAAATCCCTTCTGGAGATCTGGACAGCAACTCTACCCCACCCAGTCCATCTAGCAAGCCCGTCTCCTTACAGATAAAAAGACCGGATTCCTTTGGTCCCTCCACGGCTGGGAAACCCTTGGGGTCAAGCCCCAGCCCTCCTCCTTCCTCCACTGCTTTCCAGCCACACGTGAGCTGATGGATGAAGCACGGGTCCTTGTCCCTGGAGCTGCCAACACCCGGGCTGCGGGCAGGGGACGGGCTGGTCCCCAGGACTTGACGTCCCTGTGCTCTGGGAGTCTTGTCCCCACCTCACTGTGGTCATTTCCCTGCTCAGTATCACTCTGCCTGGCCCCGCCGCTCCTCCCTGCCTTCTCCCCTCCTTCCCTTGCCCGCTCTCATGGAGAGCTGTGAGCAACAGGGAGGAGGGGGCCAGGGCAGCACCGGGACCGCAGCAGCCATGCCAGCGTGGTTCTGCTCGGAGGTTCAGTTTACATTCCTCGCTCTACCCCGGCCACGCCAGAGCCCAGAGGATTGCAGCAAAGCAGCGAGCAACGTGGCTGCAGGCGACAACCACCAGCCTCGTGGGCTCGGTGAGGGTGGGAGCTTCCAGGAACCGCAGCCAAGCGCGGTGTGCGGCAGCCGGCCCCGAGCCCTTCGGAGGGAGGCTCTCCAGCTGCCCCAGCCACTTAAGACCTCAGTGCTGATGTTTGAGTCACCAGATCCCTCCAGAGATCGCAGAAGAGGTTGTAGCCACAGGAGGTGTGAGGGGAAGTATTGCATCCTGCAGGGAAGAAGGAATGGAGGACACCACCCTGACACCACCGCCAGCATCCAGCCTGCCGTGTACTTAAAGGACCGTGCTGGACAAGGAGGATGGATCTGAAATCTCGGCCCCAGATCAGATCCCAAAGTGGCTTTCTTAGCAGGGGAAAATTTTCCCTGTCAAGGTGCACCCAGGGGATGGGGGGACATCCAGCAGGACCCTAAGCCCCAGCTGGCACTGGCCCTGCCACGGATGCCGCAGTTTCTCCATCTCTCATGCGGATGCGGGACCAAGGCAACGGACCTGGCTCAGGCACAGCTGTGGGCTCCATGGACTGCTGGGGTAGGGAGGGCTGGAGTCATGGCCTTCCTCCCACGGCTCACCATCGCACCTGGGCAGCGACGCCCTCCCAGCACAAGGACCGTGCTGGACAAGGAGGATGGATCTGAAATCTCGGCCCCAGATCAGATCCCAAAGTGGCTTTCTTAGCAGGGGAAAATTTTCCCTGTCAAGGTGCACCCAGGAGATGGAGGGACATCCAGCAGGACCCTAAGCCCCAGCTGGCACTGGCCCTGCCACGGATGCCGCAGTTTCTCCATCTCTCATGCGGATGCGGGACCAAGGCAACGGACCTGGCTCAGGCACAGCTGTGGGCTCCATGGACTGCTGGGGTAGGGAGGGCTGGAGTCATGGCCTTCCTCCCACGGCTCACCATCGCACCTGGGCAGCGACGCCCTCCCAGCACTCGCCACCACAGCACCCAGGTGGCATTGAGGGAGCAGGCGGGACAGCCTGGTCCGGGCACACCCTGGGGTACCCCAGGGATGCTCAGCCACCCCCTCCATGGGCAGCACCCCCCATAAAGCCAGCAGCACATCGCTCCGGCCCCGCTGGCTGGTGAGGCGGCAGAGAGCTTCTCCCGCCACCTCCCGCGAGGCCCGTGGAGACAGCCAGTCCCCACACGCCCCC